AACAACTTCGTTTTAGAGACCCAAATTATATATTTTTCTGAAACTTCAAAGTAGAGTGTTTTTGGTAAGCATTATAATCTAACTTATATATTATTTTGTTAGTTCATAAGGGGGCGATTGGTTACATATTCTACCGTAAAAATCTCATTCAAAACTCAAATTTAACTCAATTTTAACTCAACCTCACTATCTCCAATATTATCAGTATAATTAAATAATATTAAACAATCATTCTTACACCTTTAATTCACTATTCATCTACTCACATAATTTTAACTAACCATCACTTCCAATCATTTTTCTCTTACTTTACATCATATCAACTTTAAGTATTATTTTAATATATCCACTAACAACTAACCATATCAACTTTTTTCAAACTTAACTATAGTTAAAAAAAACTAGTTTTTTACTAGTTGAATTCATATCCAATCACCCCCTAAGATTTTTATATACAAATACGTATTGGTTTAGTAGGATTGAGTTTTCTTCATAGTTTTTTTGACCCCAACCGGCCCAGCAGGTCGACCCGAGACCCGGTCGACCGGAGCCGGAGCCGGTCCAGGTGAGCTATTTAGATCGGGCAATAAAGGACTCAGTCAAACCTGGCCAACCCGGCATTGACCCGGTTGACCCGGCTCATTTATATATATATATTTGTTTTTTAAAAATAAAACTATGTATATATGTATATATGGTAAATATTTATCATGAGATACATATTATTAACACTTTAATGAACAAATTTTATACACAAAAATTTAATTATGTTATTTTTATGTATATTTATATGACAAAAATACTCCATATATAATTTTAAAAATTTTAAAGTTAATTATCTGGTTCAGCAATTAACTCGGTGACTCGGTGCACCGAGACCTGTCCCGATCGATTACCGGGCCGAATTTAAAAACTATAGTTTTCTTAAATAGTTTGAGCTTATTTCATAAGCTAGCTTTTCAAATAAGTCCTTGAAACTTTTATTATATTAATTAATTTTATTATATTAATTAGTTTTTTGACTATAAACGATAAAAAAATTTACTTATAAACCATCAACTAACTTGTCGACTAATTTTAATAAGGAATAAGATAAGGAAATGTCATAAAAATACTCGGCCAAGCACAAATACTTTTCAAACTCGATTTAAAATCCTGATATCAAAATAGAGTTTATTAATTTATTACAGTACATATATAAAAAAAAAAAAAACCTTAATTAAACTGATTAACTCGGGTCCATTCGTCTTGCCAACAAGCGGATTGCCCATTGTCTTCTTTCGTACATATATTGGTAAAATCTGTCGTCCATTCGCCCTTTGAAAACCCTAAAACCTAGATCTATCCTCATTTGGACCGGCCAATTATCGCCATCGTCTGCTTTGTTCGTCTCGGTAAATTCACAGATTTCGGGCTTATTGTATTTCTTGCTAATTTTGTGTGATTATACTAGTTATTTGTTTTGTTTGGAAGATTACGATTGATTCATGGGTTTTGTGCTAGTCGTGATGCTTTAATGGATCTCCGTTTCATGAATTTAACTCGTTCTTCGAGTTTTATTGGTTCATATGTCTAGTTGAAGACTTGAAGTGAAGTGGATTGTTGCTGACCTTTTTATGTGTGGCTTAATTTACGACACTCTTTGTAAAATTTGGGGTTTTGTTCGTGCCTTAATCTTCCCTTTTATGTGAACTGTTCAGTCATTCCTTATAATTTGTGTTCTTGAATTTATCTAGCGAGAATGGGTCGCTCGAGCAGAACCCTTTACGTCGGTAACCTTCCCGGTGACATTCGTGAGCGGGAGGTGGAAGATCTGTTTTACAAGGTTGATTTCACTTTGAAAAAATGATTACTTTCTGTTAAATAGTTTAGAGGAGCAACATATTGTAGTATGCGTTTGATTGACATCATCCTATCCTTTTCTCAATGCAGTATGGAAGAGTTGTGCACATAGAGTTGAAAATCCCGCCCAGGCCTCCTGGTTATGCATTTGTTGAGGTACTATTCGTTTTTTTTGGTGTCCCGTTGTTCAGTGTTTGGCCTCATTTTTTTAAAGACAATAATCATGTTTAACGATAGTTTGAAGATGAACGTGATGCTGAAGATGCCATTCGAGGGCGTGATGGCTATGAATTTGATGGACATCGCCTACGGGTCAGTTGTGTGTTTATGGCAATTACAATTTGCTCTTTTTTTTTTTTTAATGTACCATTTTTGAATTTATTAGTGATATCTGAATACACAGGTCGAGCTTTCTCATGGTGGACGAGGCAACTCGTCGTCAACAGATCGTTACAGTGGAAGTCGGGGTTACCGTGGCGGAGTGTCCAGGCGTTCGGAATACAGAGGTGATACATTGTTAAATGTGAATATAACATAATTCGATTCCATTTACATCTTTGCAATTCTGTCTCATTTGGCTTCATCTTTCAGTTATGATCACTGGCTTGCCTAGTTCTGCGTCATGGCAAGATCTCAAGGTATCATATTCATTAATGCTAAGATTGCCTGCTAATTCGAT